TGGGAGGACTGCTGGAGTCAGCTTGAGGCCAGGCCTGGCATCCCCATGGCCTGTCAGGCTGTGCCTGGAAGGATGCCTCCCTCTCCATGGGTGTCTGGGCATCTGGGCCAGCCCTTGGGGAGCACAACTCTGGATCTTGATGCCAACGCGCTGGCTCTACTGACTCTCACAGAGAGTCCTCCCACCAGCCCCAGACTCCCCAGGGGATGGACGGGCTTCCCTGAGGCATCTGCAACTCCTTCACCTATTCCCTTTTAAGGTGCCATGGGGGAGTGGCTTAGGAGTGGTTTCAGGATCTGTGCAAGGTCTCAGTATTGTCTGATATGGCAGGCACCAGCCATATGTGGCCATTGAGGAGTAAGGGGTCAGGACTGTCTGGCTGAATCTGGGTTGTTGGGCCAGTGAAGGTGCTGTGGGGGCCTGAGTCCAAGAAGACGCTGCTTGGCCTCATGGTCTCAACGCATCCTCCTGACCCCAGCACTTGTATTTGGTTGCCATAGATGAATACTTAGCAAAGTGTACTTCCTTTGCTGCAGGAAGTACATTTTGCTTTTTCCTTTCCATTGTATACACAGAACTAATACAGGGCATGGGCCCTTATAAATCTGGTTGAATAACTAAGGGCCAGAATCCCCAGTGGTCATCACACCCATATGATGTGGACCCTGGCATGGCAGGCCACATTCTGATGAGGGGGTACATTCATTCTGAAAGGCAACTTACCCAAGCACCTTGTTTCCCCCAGTTGTCAAATGCTCAGATCAGAGCCTGGCCAATCACAGGACACTTTTTCAAATGCTCACGAGCACCCAGAATTCCTTGAGGGCTTCTCTTCTGGGTGATTACCTAGGGGAGCCTGACCATGGGGGCTGGCCAAATTCAAACCATCAATGACCATATGCCACAGGAGAGTGGCCTTGAGGGTGACTTCAAGACCCATGGGAGGAATCAACCCTTTATTTTCACTGAAGTGGTGACATACATAGTACATTTTGGAAAATTCTCTACCTGCACCATCCCATATGGTGGCCACTGGCCACTGTGGATACTGAGCACTTGAAATATAGTCATGCAACTAAGGAACAAAATTTGTAATTTTACTTTAAGTTGTGGCTGACTTGTGGCTATAGCTACTACATAGGACAATGCAGCTCTGGAAAGTGCCTTAAGACCATAGGCTCAAGGAAGAACTCATTTGAGCTGAGGGACCCACCTCAGCACAACAGAAGCAGACTCAGGACCTCTTTGCACAACTTGGATTTGGACCTAAGTCTCTGGAAACCACTTGTGCTCACAGAGAGTCCTCCCACCAGCCGCAAGAGCCCCTGAGCATCAATGTTTTTGTCCATGCCCTGTGGCTCTGGTTTGGGTTTTGCCATTTATTCAGCTTTGTGACCTTGGACTTATCCCCTTCTCAACCTTGCGCTGTCCAGATGCCCAAAATCCCCCAGATCTGAGAGCCTTCTTCCCTCTGTCCTGGTGATGTGTGGCTCAGACCCTTCTCCCCAGGCTGCTTCCGGGCCCACTGCCAGCACCACCCACCCAACAGAAGGTGCTCAGGCAGGGGAGGGCTTTCCAGCCAGGCACGGTTGGCCTGGCTTCTGCCAGCCTAGCCAGGGCAGGGAAGAGAAGTACAGTGAGGAGCTGGGAAATGACAGGGGACAGGGAGGAGCCATCTGCGTGGCCCAGATCTCTGCCTGCCATGCCTAGCCTGGGGTGTTGCTGGGGCACTTGCTGCAGTCACAGAGATGGCACTGGTGGGGCTCATGGGTGCTTACATTGAAGATCTGCCTCATGTCACAGCCCAGGTCCCCATCTATGAACTGCTACTTCTTAGGGGTGCCCTGAAGGAGCTTACTTTGGGATGGGTAGAAATCACCTTTGATCTTTCAGCGGGAAGATGGGGGTGGGGATGCTGGTATTTCAGCTTCTGAGCTGCAAGGTTTTCAAAAGAATCCCTAGCCTCACCCCAGCAGGGTTCCTTGGACATTCAGCTCCAGCCAGTGCATAATGCCCCCTTCTGCCAAGTTTAGCACACTTCTAGAGACAAACTTCTAGAGAACAAGTGGCTACAGGCAGGGAGCAGACTCAGGGGCCCAACTGCTATGTTGCAATCCTGACTTTACCACCTACTGGCTGTGCGACCTTGAGCAAATTACCTAAACTCTCTAACTTCTCTGGGTCTCATGTGACCAGCTGTAAAATGCGGATAATACCAACACTTGCTTCATTTGATTATTGTTTCAATTAAGTGAGGAGATGTTTGTGAAAAACTTAAACCAGTATGGCACAAGGTGACTGCTGTTATTATTACTGTCATGATTGACATTACTTTATGGGTAAACTCTGATGCAGATAGCAGCCATCAATGAAATATATGAGCCATAAGTGTAAGATCAGAAGGGAGTACAGGTGTGCTGATGACTTGCTCTATGAGGTGGGGGAGGAGGTGCAAATGTCCAGAGAAGCTGGGTCTGACTGTGCTGGCTCCAAGAGTCCCATTTGAGCTCAGCTCTCAGAAGCCCTGGGGCCCCGGGGGCACTCTTGTCCCCTACCAGGAAGCATGGGGCCCCTCTCTACAAGTCATGCTCAGAGAGGCCTCTACAGTTGACCCCAGCACCCTCCGGCTGCATGTCTGGACTGGACTAGAGAGTGCTCACTGATTCCCAGACCTGGCCTCTCCTGCTTGGTTGGGAAGGATTCAGCCTCACTCCAAAGCTCCAGCTCCAAATCCTGAAATGTCAGTGCCGAGTCCGCAGGGCACACCTCCACTGTCTCTAGATCTGGAGCAGGGAAGGGACTTGGCCAAGGTCACAAAGACCATCAGGCACAGAGCTGGCACCAAACCCCAGAGATCCTGTCACTAGAGCCCAAGATGCCTCCTACAAGCCTCCTCTTCCCCTTATTGCCCCTGGGGCTGGCTACAGCATCTCCGCTGCCTGCTGTTGGAGTGCTCCCTAGCACGTTCAGCCTTGGGGGCTTCCTTCCCCAAAGGACTGGCTCTCCTTCTGGTTGTGTGCAGAGCCCCCTCCCACGCCCGTCCCACTTCCATCTGCATGCCTTCCCCCCTGTTCTGTGCCAGAGCATGCCTGCCCCTTCACTCAAACCACCTGGCAGTGCTGGGCATGCACCAGGTTGATGTGATCAAGACTAGCTGTGTCCTTGGCCCTCCCCCTCCTGGAGGCTAGTAGCAGGGACAATCAATGGTCTGGGACCACAAAGCCCAGCCCCTTCCGACTGGCTCACTCTTCAGATGCAAACTCAAGGGGTAATTTCACCCTTGGTCCTTCTGCTATGCCAAGTCCCTTAGGGACCTGGGCAGCCTCCCAGCCTCTCCTCTGCATCCTAGCTCTCCTCACAAGCCACCTGGGCTTGATTCCCCCATCTGTGAAAAGGGGGCCAATGAGAACAGCAGCTCACACATATGGTTGAGGTGAGACTCAGATGGAGGTCCAAGAACATGTTTAGAACCACGCGCGGCTGTAGTAGGTGCTCAGGAAGGGGATTGGCTTCTTATTAGGATACCTCCCCACCAAGTCCATGGGAGTGGCCCCAGCCACCTGCTCAAGACAGAAGGGGCCTCCACCCATGTGCTCAATGCACTGCTGAGTTCCCACCCCTCTTGGGGCTTCAAGCATCTCATCTGAAGAATGGGGACAAAAATACAGGCCTTGCCTTTATTCTCTGGTGAGTCTACAGATTCAGTGAGGTCAAGGTCATGAATGTGCCATATGAAAAGTACTGCCCACTCTGCCAGGCCTGTGCTGGGCACTTGAGCAGCCCATGCAGGTTAAGAGAAAGCCCCTGCCTTAAGATGCTCATAGACTAGGGAGAAGTCATGACTGTGCTTGAGGGTTGCAGTGCTAGTGGATTAAGTGAGGGGAGTAGGTGCAGGGGGCACCTTCCAAGCCGACGTTCAAGTCCTTGTAGGGAGCCAGGGGAGATGAAGATGGGAGCCAGCTAGGGACAAGCTGGACTAATCCTGCAACAGGCAGGGGCTCACTTTAGGTCAGAGCCCCAAGGCCTCATCTGTGAAAGATGGGGTGGCTTCACTCCCCCACCCAGCCCAGGAAGTGGCAAGCATCTAGTGGAGGGGACTGCCCTTGGAGCAGGTAAGACAGCAAGTGGTGTTTGCACACTCTCTCCTAAACCTCTCCCAGGATTCTCCAAGATTCCTTCCTGGGCTGCTCTGCCCAGGCATCAGGCCCCCCACCCTACCTTCCACTCCTCCTTGGCTGGTCAGGCCACTAAGCCCTGCAGAAAGCCAGCAGAAGGAAGGAGACCAGGTCCTAGAGAGAGGGGTGGGTCTCCCCAGGCTTTAGGAGATGCTGCACCAGCGGCTCAGAATTCCAGAACCCCACGCCTGGAGCTTTCACTTTTCAGAACACTGAGGCCCCCTATGCAGAAGCCCTCTGGCCAAGGTCACACAGGTGAGAAGGGGGGAAACAATAGTCGGGGAGGGATGGAGAAGGCACTACCCAAGTGTGGCCAGGGGCCGCCTGCCTTAGGCACTGTCCATGCCAGCAGCGGGGTCGGCTGGGTAGCTATGTGGGCGTGCAGGGGGACAGTGTGGGAACGTGTGAGGGGGAAGATGACACAGTGTGAGGGCGCTGGGGGGGCGGGGGGGAGGGGTGCCGCGAGGCTCCTGGAAGGTGCGTGCTCACCGGCGGGGCTCCTGGCCCAGGCCCGGCGCCCCTGGCAGTGCTAGTCCTGAGCCCCCGCCCGCAGCCCCCAGCGGCCTTGTTCCCCAGACGCAGATGCGCGTGCGCGCGGGATGCGGGGCGCAAGGTGCGGGTGTGGGGCGCTGCCTGCCAGCCTCGGGGCCCCGGGGTGACGCGCGGCCGTGGTGCGGCAAGGACACGCAGGCCTGACGTTGGGCGCAGGTGCCTCAGCAGCAGACCTGCGTCCCCCCACCTGCAGCCGCGCCACCTGCTGGGCTGCCCTCCCGCCCCCGCCCGCGCCCACCTCGCCTGCGCCCGTGCGCCCGGGGCACCACTTACCCGGGCATGGGCACAGCCGCCACCGCGGCCTCAGCTCTGGCGAGTGCTGTCGCTCTAGGCGGGCGCCCGGCGGGCAACAATCCGCTCCAAGGACGGAAAGGCCCGGGCACAGGGCGGCCTGGCCAGCGGCGCGGAGCAGCACCCTCCGCGGCGGGCGACGGCTGCGGCCGAGTGCTCCCCACGCTCCGCACCGGCGGCGGGCGACGCGGCGCGCTCGGCTCCAGCCGCAGCTCTGAGCGCGGAGGGAGGGAGGGAGAGGGTGGGGGAGGGAGGGAGCCGGTGGAAGAGGAGGAGGAGGAGGAGGAGGAGGAGGAGGGAGGAGGGAGCGGGCGCGGGGGGCGGTGCACCGGTGCACCGCGCAGGGGACACCGGGCTCTGGAGCCTCGCGTCCAGTGCGTGCCCTTCTGCCCCCAGGATGCGAGTGGTTGCCCGTCCTTCCTAGCCTGACATTGCCCCCCCAATGGGCACTGGCCCAGTGGGGGTGGGATCAGCTGGAAACTGGGGGCGCTTACCACCACCTGCAAGTACAGAGAAAGTGCCCCAAGCATGCGACTGGAAGTCCAGGCTGCCACTGCCTCTCAAGATCCCCTGCCCTCTGAATGCATTTTCCCAACAGTAAAATGGGGCATGGAGCTGGGTGAACTGACTTGTAGCATGGGGTCCTTGAGCCCCAGGTGGACTCCAAGGGGTTGCTGGTCCTCTGACACTGTCTGTGTTGGGAGTGCAGTCATCCAAATGCTTTCCCAGAAAGAAGCTGGAGCTTACAACAAATTCTTAAAGTCTGTGACCCAGGAAGGTTATCTCATGAACATCGTTTTACAGGACACACAGGGAGACTGAACACAGATGGACATCCAGAGAGACACACCAGCCACACACATCTGATGACACAAGTGGCGACAGACACGCAGAGAAACTGCAGTGCAGACAACCACCTGTCCCAACTGACATATACCTTCAGATACATGGGCAAATACACCAAAGTGTGTGTCCCTGGGACTAGCTTCTGCCACTAGTCTTTAGAGCTTCCCAGTTCCAGTGACAGCAGAGTCCTCTGACCCCAGATTCGGTCTTTGCTGTGATCTGTGAGCAGTGGGCATACTCAGGTTGGGGACCCAGGATGGGGCTGAGGCTGAGCGTGTGGAAAAGGGAAGGGACTTGTCCCTAGGCAGCATACCAGCATTTCTCTCTCTCTCTCTCTCTCTCTCTCTCTCTCTCTCTCTCTCTCTCTCTCTCTCTCTCTCCCCCCCCCCCGTGTGCACACACATGAGGGTGGGAGGATACAGAGGATCCTACGGTGTCCTGTGTGCTGGTCTGGGTGCTGGGGACACAGCAAGGATTCCATAAAAGGTAGTGGCAGGCTGACTGACTGCCCACACAGTTGGTAAGGGCCATGGGAGACCACTGATCCATTGATCAGGGGCAACAAAAGATTGTGCTGGGAGCTAGGGAACGCCTCTTTTGAGGAGCTGTCACTGTGCCAGATATCTCAACGACAGAAAGATACTGCTTCCCCACCCCAAGGGCCAGAGGACAGTCACAATTGCTATAGCCTGCCCCCTCCCACAGGAAGCAGCTGGTTCTGTGGAAAGCCGATGAGCACTGGCATTGCAGGGAGTCAGAGCCAAGCCCCTGGCACTTCTCAGTGTGAGCAGAGGTTTACACACACACACACACACACACACACAGACACACACACTTACATTCTCTCACACTCACACATGTTGGCTCAGGCATACTCATTTACTCTCACACACATTTACATTAAAAAAAATGGAGGGATCCCCAATCTTCCTGAGCACCTATTCTGAGCTATGTGTTACTGTTCAGTTTCTCCTCTTACTACCCCACATTCCTGTTGGGGAAGTGAAGCTCAGGGGGGTCACTAGATGCTACCTGGAACAGGTTGTGAAACTGGTTTTTTGCCCCTGGCTAGGAGATGGGGCACCAGGCCATCCCCACTCCCCTCATGAGGACAGAACAGCTTTGAGTACAAGAGCATGTCCTGGGGGACCAGGGCCTCCCTCCTCCAGCACGTTCAGGTTGTGCCCCCTTCTTGGCTTTCTACAGTGTGGTGGGCTCCCTGGGGTCATTGTCCTTCCCTCCCTGTCCTGAGGCCCTGGCTCCAGAGTGAGAGGAGGTAGGCAAAGGCATATGAGTCAGCCTCCTCTGGTGGCTCCAGCAGGACCATCCCTTGGGTAAGGGGTACACTCTGGCTGATGACAAAACCCTCAGTTATTGGCTGCCCTTTAGCAAACATGTATTGGCAGCTCTGGGAGGACAGGAGTGGGATAGAACACCAGAAAGGGCCCCTGTGGAGAGGAGGGGGGTGCTGAGATGGGAGGGAGAGACTTCCACTTAAAGGCTTGGAAGTGACTGTGAGAGCAGAAACCAGAGAAGACTCTCTTGGGGCTGTGTCACTGCATTCTCTCAGGGACCAGGGAACATATTGATCACTCTGGGGGCATGTTTATTAAATTGATGGCTGCTGTCCATATGGGAAAATTGGCATCAGCCTGTGAAGTCTGTCCTGATCACTGAGCTCCAAGCTGTTTTGTAAGGCTTGAGTACTTATGTCCCCCATGAGGACAGCGGCCATCAGTTCAATGAACATGCCCTTTGGCCCAGAGCCTCTCTTACCAGGGGAAGAAGCAAGTTGGGGGGAAAAATCCAAGGCTGGATCACCTACTGATGCCTCTTTGCCTCTTCCTCTGAGTTGGGATACTGCCTTGGCCTGGCACAGTTAAGAGTTAACCATGCTATACAACTTTGTGATGAGTTCCACCAAGGTCAAGGTCAGATGACCAGGAAACAAGGTAGCATGGAAGTCCCTAGTCCCTAGAAATTGTGGTCCTCAAATAGCTAATGTTCTCCTTTTTGTAGTTCCAGTTGGTTGGTCCCCAGCCTGGGCCCTGAGACCAAAAGGGAGGACCCAGGCCTGAGAATGAGGCCTGGGTGCCAGACCAACTGCGCCATTGTCACTAGTGACCCTGGTTCAAGGCCAGCCCCATCCTAGTTCTTCCATTTTTAAAGAGGTGGGCTGGGGCACTTTGCTAGAAAGTTCTTTTTTATACCACACCCTGTCCTCTGCATTGGAAATACTTATGGAGCCAACCCCAGGGAGGCCCATGGTTGAGGCTGGAGGTGTGATAGGGACAGACCACTTGGCCAAGTAGCCCAGACCTCCCTGTTTCCCTACACCCTCCCCCATTCTTTTCCTTCTCTCTTTTTGGTCCTGCACCTACCCCCACTGTGCCCTGGACCTGCATCTTCAGGGACCTTAGGCCTCTAACATTGTCAATGGTTCCTCTCAGGCAACCTCAGCCTAAGAAAACCCCCAGAGAACCCTCACCTGAGTCCCTCCCCATGCAGCCCGGCCTGCTATGCCCCTGCCCCCTCTCTTTTTCCTTGGACTCACTTCACTGCCTGCAGCCCTCACTCCCCTGCCCCCAACCTCAGCTACTGCCCTGTCACCAGAAGGCTCCTCCTCTCTGTGGGCCCTGCAGCTGCCTGCCCCTCCTCCCATGCCCCCTCCTTGCCTGCTTTTCCTCCTGCCACTTTTGGTGTGGCTGTCACAGCCTCCTCTGGGACAGCAACTCCTTGGCCTGGCCTAGAAGTGAAGGGCCCTCTGGCTGAGCCTGGGCCCTCTCTTTACTACCCCTGCTCTCTCCATGGCTGAGATCACAGCCCTCTCCCTGAAAGCTCCGGGGACCACCAGGTCAATGTCTGCCTGCAGCCCTGTCTGGCAGGCTGAAAATGCCCCAAGAGATCTGTCCATGTCCTCAACCCCAGAAGTGGAATGTGACCTCATTTGAAAATAGGGTCTTTGCAGATGTGATTAAGTGAAGGATCGTGAGGGGGGAGATTATCCTGGATTATCCAGACAGGCCCTTATGCAATAATAAGTTATTATAAGAGAGAGGCGGGAGATTTCACACTCATCCAGAGTAGGAAGCCCTGTGATGGTGGAGGTTCAGTGATGCAGCCACAAGCCAAGGGACACCTGGAGTCACCAGAGGCTAGAAAAGGAAGGAAGGGTCTTCCCCTAGACTTCAGGAGTGGCACAGTCCTACCCACATCTTGACTCTATTTCAGGCTCCCAGCACTGTGAAAAAATAAATTCCTGATGTTTGAAGCCACTTGGTCTGTGGTCATTTATCACAGCAACTCCAGCTGGACACCAAGGAGCTCCATCCTATAGAGCCCTGCTTGTTGCATACCTCCTGCCTCCCAGCCTGGTTCACCTCAATAGACTCCACATCTGGGAGTTTTGGAAAGCTCTGGTCTGCTATGGGGGGTGTGCGCACACAATGGCCCTTTGGCACCACAGCTGCCTGCAAGGCTCCAGGCTTGGGGGCCAGCTCAGTCCTCAGGCCATTACCCCTTGCCCTGGCTGCCCCTTGTATAGTGGGAACCAGCACAACTTCAGTACTCAGGCATCCCCGGGTTCTTCAGGGCTGCAGGGGGTTTGTGCTCCTCCCAGAAGCCAAGGGAGACAAAGACTTTCCCCAGAAATGGGCCCTGTGCCGCATGTCCATAATGGACGGGGCTTTGCCTCTCCTTGTGGCCCTTATCCTCCTGAGGTGAGAGCTTGGAACCCATGGGGGCAAACCTGAAGACCAGCCATTTGAGTCAGAGGTGCAGGGGTGCAGCCACAGGGGATGAACACTCAACACTGAACACTATCTTTCAAGGTCTCAGAGCAGCCCCTCCACTTTGGCTCCCTCAGGCCCTTTAAGGAAGGGCTGTGTCCCAGAGGGGGCCCTGCCTCCTCTGGGCTCAGGCCTGGGATTACCTGGCTGGCTGCCCCTTGACAAGCCCTGACTTGCCTAAACCCAAGCAGTGGATTCGGCTTAGGCTCCAGCTGGGCCCTGCCACATCCAGAAGGCACCTGACCTTCTGGATGTGGCAGGGCCCAGTAAGTGCTTGGAAGTTTCCCCTATCCTGCCCCATGCCCCTCAAAGGCCATTCCTTGGCAGCCACCCCTTTCACAGAGCAGCCCTCCCCAAGTGAGCAGCTCACATGACACTGCCATGAGGGCTTTTGTGTGTGTGCTCATGTGTGCTGTGAGTGCGTGTACGTGTTTGCATTTTTCTGTGTTCTTGCACACACATTTCTCTATGCATGCATGTGCACATGTGTTTGCATACGCTTGTATGTGTGCCTGTGTGTGTGAGTGCTTGTGTACATGTGGCTTTGTGTTCATGCCTGTTTTTTTTTCTCTTAGACCCCTCATTTGGGTTTGCCTGTGTGTGCTGTGCTCATGTGTGCATACATGTGAGTGTTCATGTGTGCACACATGTTTATGAGTGTGCATCAGTGTATTTCTGTGCTTGTGTGTGTGCATGCACATGTTCCAATGGCTGCCCCAGCTGGGCCCTGCTCTGAGCTGTACCCTCAGGCACTATTCCTCACGGTCCTATTCTCCTCAACATTTCTTGCCCTGCTGGGAGACTTAGGCACCAGTGTGCCACAACCAACCTGGTGGTCCTATACCCACACCCTGCCCACTTGCTTCCTCTCACTCCATATCTAATCTGTCCCCAAGTCCATAGGCTCCTACTCCAGCAAAAGTTGGGCTGGAACTTGTTCCCTGCTCTCTACCTTTCTTGCCCCACTAGCTCAGGGCACATTATCTGGAGCTTTGTTACCCTGGGACTTCCTGTGACCATAGTCAGGGACCAGAACACAACTCTACTTTCCAAGCAGCGTGAATGTGAACATGTGTGGGGGAAGCTGCCGGCTTACAGGGAAAACCTTGGTCTCACTGTAGATTTTCAGTAAATTATTATAGTCGAATGGTGTGCAACACACTTAGTAGTAGAGAGAAGCTGAGGGATTCATCTTTATACTGTGGTGATCTGAGAATGGAGCCTCCCCTCTACCATGGCCCACAAACCCTATGGGGTGCAGCCCTCTTCACCCAGGGCTCCTGCCTGAGCAGCTCATGGCTTCTGGTATAGGTGCTGCCTTCCTCTGCACTTGCTATCTCTGTAAAACTTGTCCCCCAAGCTTATCGTGACACCACTGCCCCATTGTGCCCTGAGCTGGGACTCACAGAGGATGGAATAAAGGTGAGAGGGAGACAGAGGAAAGGGGAAGCTAGGAAGACTGAGGGGGCAGCAGCAAAAGAAAATAGAGATCCCAGGGGTTATAGTAGACACACAGAACGTGGACCCTGCACTACAAACACATCCACAGAGAAGCAGGTTGAAGGCTCCATGTTTCTATCTCTGCCGGGTCCTGGTGCTGACTGCCCCTCCTCCCCACCAGGGTGGAGACTTGACGGAGGCCCTAGCTCCTGGCCCCCAGCCAGTGCCCTTGCCCTGTGCATGCCCAGCTCAGCAGAGATTGCCGGGCTGTGGAGCACATGCCCCAGAATAGTGCTATGATGCTGCCGGGTGACATTCTATCGCTGGGCCACCACGCTGAGCGGCGCCTCCCGTCCCAAAAAGGAGAAACCTGGGGACGCTGGGTGTCCCGAGTGCCAGGCCAGGCATAAGGGCATGGCACTGTACAAGACGCTGCCCAGCTTCTCTAGACTCCGCCTCTCCTGGGCTGTCACTCACATAGGCCCTGTCTGCTCTGTTTTTCCTGGCTGCCCGTGGTTACCCAGGGAGGCTCTGGCTCCTGCCAGATGAGTGGGAGGCCCCTCATGTAGGACAGAGGGAAAGCCGCAGGCCTAGCCTGGGGCCACCTCAACCTGTTGGGCAAGCTTCCAAGTGGGCATTGCTCTGGGGACTGTCCTTTTCCAGGGCAGCCTTGTGTCCCCATTGAGCAGGCTACCCTGGTTCTGAGCTGGACCCTGTCTCTGGAACCAGGGCCCATGCACTGCAATCTGAAATTGGCTCTTCTGGCACCCAATGGGATTTATGGGGGTGCTGGATGGGAAGCCAGACCAGGCCAGCACACTGAGCACCCCAGCATAGTGCCCTGATTCCATATGCCTTCTCCCCTCTGATCTTCCCAAGCATGAGCACAGCCCTGACAACAGTTAAGTTCCAGCATATTCTGATCTCCCAACTCTTTGAAACAGATGGGCAGTCCTTCTTGAATATCCAGACTCCCCTACTGGTGGGAGAAGGTTCATCCTGGTGCCACCCAGACATCACGTGCTTGACAAATGCTCCATTCTGAAGGGCAGGCCTGGCCTAAGGACAGAGAGAAGGGAGGGGAAGTGGCTGCCTCTGGGCCTTCTGCCTGATTGCCTGAGGCCTATGTTTCCAGCCTTGGACCCAAGGGTGATGGAGGACCCTCTTCTGAGGAAGCTCAGACTGGACACTGAGAGGCAGAGTCTGGGAGATGGCAGAGGTAGTCTCTCAGGTCTCTACTCTCTGCTTGGTCCCCAGTGTTGCCCCAAGAGCAGTGGCACACAGAGCCCTATTGCACAGTGTTTCTTTAATTGAAAGACAACCAACCTCAAAAGCAGCCCTCCTTGAGCTGGGTGTGACTGCTCACAGCCCACCGCGGCAGGGACCAGGAGGTGAAGGAAGGAGACCCAACTATCTTGCGGGGAGGTGGGAGCCAATGAAAACTGGTGCTCAGGACTCTGGTGGAGCATGGCCACCTTCCTGGTTTTGACCTTCCAGCCTCCTCCAATCTGGGGGCAAGACCTCAGTAGGACAGTGAAAGAGGCAGCCATCCCAGGCAGAGGCTGGGCAGGGCCTGAAATGGAAAGAAGAGACAGCCCAGGGAAGAGTCAGGGTGTGTGTGTGTGTGTGTGTGTGTGTGTGTGTGTGWGAGAGAGAGAGAGAGAGAGAGAGAGAGAGAGAGAGAGAGGACTAGTCCAGGGACCAATAGAGCAAGGAACTGGGATGGATAGGCCATGAACTTGCTGAAGTGGGGGCACCAGAGGCCAAGTGCAATAGATGAGCCCAGGAGAGGTGGAAGGCTGGAAGTAGATGGGGAGGAGGAGGAGGATGTAAGCCTGGACAGGGTTGTGGCCGTGGCAGAGTCCATTGTCTCCATCCCTGCTAACCTCTCCTGCCCCACAGATCCGTGGATTGTTTTCCTAGGGCTGGAGCCTCCAATCATTGGGTTTTAAGGTGAACAAGAAAGCTTTATAGGGGTGCCTCTGAGTGGCCATGGTGGGTGAGCAGGGCAGCTCGGGAGCTGAATGACAGGTGATGGGGGCCAGGCCTTATGTCCACCTGCATGCTTGGGAGCCAGGAAGAGGCTGTGATGGGGTAGTGAGTCAGGGTTGGAGACCAAATGTGAGGCTTCGCTTCTTTGCTTTGCCTTCCCTTCTGGGACATCTGGCTGCTTTCCCCAAAGACCCCAACCAAGGCCACCGTGGTGGCTGCCACTGCCTCTATTTTTTGTAGTTGCCAAACTGGATGGCCAGGCGGTCGGTGACGCAGCGGAAGGTAGCTGGCTGCACCTCCCAATACGGCACAGGATTGTTGAAGAGGCTGATGCCATTGTAGTAGGCCCGCTTGACCCCGAAGCCCACCGGGCAGAAGTCGTTGACGCCCACCTTTGTAATGTTGTTGGAATGCAGATAGACCACCTGGGGGCACAGACAGGAGGTAGAGGTGTGCTGTCAGGGCCCAGTAGTCCCAGGCCACCCTCCACAGTCTGCTCGACTGGGTAGGTGCTGTGGGTCAAAGGCCAAATGGAGGGCAGACACAGAAGGGGCTGGGCCCTGCCTCCATGCCGAGTCCCACCAGCTGCTTCCCAGGTATCATCTCACTGTAGTATGTCTGCACCACCCTTTCAGGGCCAGTTTGGGATTCTCCCCATGGATGGGAGAAGGAAACTGAGGCTTGGATATGTTGGGTGGGTGTTGGTCAGGATTAGGCACTGATGTGTGACCATCATGAGGGGCTCATGTGTGGTGAGTGGGAGATGGGGATAGGTGGGGGTGGGGCTGGGGGCTGGGCCAGAGGGGTCATGGGGGGCTGTGTTGGGTGGAGCGGGGCAGTAGGAATCAACAATTGATCCTGATATGATGTGCATGCAAGAAAGGTGGTGCTAGAGCTGGGGTTGGGGCTTAGTGGTGAAGTGCTTGCCTAGCACATGTGAGGCATTGCGTTTGATCCTCAGCACCACATAAAAATAAATAAATAAAATAAAGGTATTGTGTCCATCTATAAATATATATATGTATATATACACATATATGTGTGAAAATATATACGTGTGTGTGTGTGTGTGTGTGTGTGTGTGTGTATAAGAAAGGTGGAATGGTTCTCTTTTTGGATTCCCCGGGCTCCAGACCTGTCCCCAGAAAAGCACCCACTCACTCCAGATTCCCATGGGGTGTGAGAGGAGAAAGAGCCTCAGGGTGCCCCTTCCCTTCCTCCAGGCCTTAGCAGCATTTGCCCTCTGGCAGAAGCCTCCCCTAGCCCATCCCTGAAGCTGCTTTCTTAGGGAGGAGCAGAGCTGAACAAGGAAGGCCAGAAGGTTGACTGAGGAGCCCAGTGGTGACAAAGAGGTCTCCGGCCACTAGAGGGCACAGTCAGCCCAGCATGGGCTTCATTGCATGGGATGGTAATGCTCCTACCATTTTGAATGGGGCTGAGGAAGAGCTTTAAACGCAGAGCAGGGCTGGGTAAGACCAGGTTATCCCTTATGACTGGAAGCCAAGATAGGGACAGAGGTCCTACAGATGGAGGGTGGCATAGTCTCAGAACAAACAGGGGGTTTGGTGCCAAGGGAGGGAGAATGGGGACTTCTCCCTCCCAAATGAGGAGATGGGACCCAAAGAGCAGAAATGACTGGCCAGGTGCATGTCCAGGTCCTGTCCTGCTCTGTACCCTGGATCCCCCCAAAAGGAGGCAGGGAGCCTAAAGACAGCCCTGGAGACATGGGACACTACTCCAACTCAAGTCTTAGAGAAGCTGATGCCCAGGGGCTTCCTAAACCCAACTCTCACCTGGAGGAGCTTGAGGTCTGGGAGGCCCGCAGGCACCCTGGACAGCTTATTGTTGTCCAAGTGCAGCTCCCGCAGGGTGGGCAGAAAACTCAGGCTCCCATTCTCGATCATCCGGATCTGATTGTGGCCCAGGCCCAGCCTGCAGATGGGCAAATGAGAGGTATTCAGAAGCTGGAGTGGATAAGGACTATGGAACAGGGTGCTGGGGGTTCTCTGATGCTGCCCCATGCCCAGTCCCACCTGTACAGCTTGGAGTACCGGAGCAGGTCCTCCAGCTCAATAGCCTGGATTTTGTTGTGGTCCAGATGCAGTTCATTCAGGGTCTCAGGGAGATCTGCCCAGAAAAGAGGGTGCTCGAAGATGTACACCAATGCTGGGTGAATGCATGTGCAGACTGTACAGGTTCAGTCCCATCCCCCCACCCCATTTGTGTTCTTGAAGGTGAAGCAGGATGCAAAGGAAGGGTCACCTTCCTACCTTTGGGGATGCCGGTCAGCTTGGCCTCTGAGATGCGCAGGTAGTTGAGCTTCAGCCCATCAAAAGCTCCAGGTTCAAAGCCACTGTTCTCCAGGGGGTTCCCACCCATTTCTAGGAGAGAGGCCCTCTCAGCCTTGGAGCCAGCTAGTGATGCTTGGCACCACTGGGGCTTCTGAGGTCAGTCTTGCATGATGGATCTGCACGTTGCCAGTTTCCCTACCCTTTCCTGAAAGTGTTCCATGAATTTATCTGGCTAATTGCAAACTCCTAGCTGTTCAATACCATTAGCCCCAAGAGCCCTGGCCCTGGCCTTGCCCTCTGGAAGCACGGAAACAAGCAGAAAGGGAGGAGACCAGAGATGAAGACAGGACTCCTGAAATGCTCCCCAGCCCCTCCATGCCCAAACCCTTCTCAATTCTCCTCTGCCAGCCCAGTCGCCCTCCATGTTCTCTTTAGCCATAGTGATTGCCCAAATTGGTGATTCACCAAGAAATACATTGGACTTTCAATTGTTTCAAGATTCTTGAGCTGAGCCTTTAAAGCCACCCCCAGTCTTCCTTCACCATGCTCTGAGACAAATATCTGGAGCTTCTGTGAGGTCTGCTGGCCCCCTACTTGGCTGCACTGGACCCAGGACCCAGCTACTCTGGCTGGAAGAGGGCTCCTTCCTCTGACTCCTTTCTGTCTGCTATCAGTGCTAACAGGTTTGGGTCTGTCACAGGCCAGGGCTGAACTCACCAATGCAGTTCATGTTCCGGAGCCCACTGAAAACACCCTTGGGCACTTTGCGGATGCGATTGTCATGGATGCGGAGCTCCACCAGGGAGCTGGGCAGGTTGGGAGGGATCTCCACCAGGTGGTTCTTGGATATGTAGAGCTTCTGCAGCTTCCGCAGGGGGCTGAAGGCCTTTTCGTGGATCTTGGAGATCTTGTTGTTCACCAGGACAAGGGCCTGAGGCAGGGCAGGTGATGGAAGTGAATGCCCCAGCTTCCTACCCCAACTACCCTCCTCTTCTCCTCCCAGTTTGCTGCTATGACACTTGAGAGGTGTCTGAACCGGCTTGGTCTCAAGGAGCTCTGTCTGTACTCATGGGCAGAGTGCAGGGTGAGAGCCAACACGCAGGCCCAGTTCCAATCCCAGGCACAACTAATGCCCAGCACAGTCATTATTTCTCTGCACATCAATTTCCCCATTATCACACTGGCTACCATTAAATCTGTTCTTTATTTGTTGCTTGGAGGAACAAATAAAATGAAAATTGTTAGACAAAAAGGGAACTGAGTTGAGTGATCCTGTCCTGTACACACACACACATGACCCACAACCCATGACCCATGACCTTGGGAGCTCCCATCATGGCTGGCTTGACTTCTCTCAGGATTCCATGCATCCCCAGTACCCTGTCACATCCCCACAAATATGCATCCATCTGACACATACCCTCTAGCTACACAGCTCATGACCCCTCCCATTCCACAGAAAGGTGGGGCTTACATAGAGGTGCTGGAGGCCTTTGAAGTCATCCTTGCGGAGTTCAGAGATGTCATTGTTCTGCAGGTCCAGCAGTGTGGTGTCAGGTGAGATCTCCTTGGGCACTGTCTTCAGACCTGGAGCCAGCACCATCAACAATGTGATCATAGAGCCACCCAACTCTCTAGCATGGCTGGTGTGGAAGGGTGGGGACATCAAGGGGACACACACACACACACACACACACACACACACACACACGGATACTGGCACAAACACAGGCTCTGGGTGCAGGCTGCAGAGCTTGCAGAATCTCTGCTTGCTCCTTATGCACTCATGTCATGATCCCCCAGGCTCTCCCATCCCCACCGGTCCCACAGGATGCATGTGCATCTCCTTTAGTAGGGGCTCTCAGGCTGGGCCTGGGCCTTCTGCACTCCCCACCCCAACTGCCCAGGGACTGACCCAGGTCAGAGCACTGAACAACCCGCAGGTGGCAGTGGCAGCCAAAAGGACAGATGGCACTGAAGGTGGGTGGAAGGGAGTCCAGGTCCGGGGCGCCTGAGGTGGTGTCAGCGCCTGAAGCCTCCTCATCATTCATCATGAGCATCCCGTCATCCAGGGTGAAGTCCCAGAAGCCTTTCTGCTCAAAGGGTAGGGCCTGGCTCAGGGCCAGCAGAGCCATGAGGAGCCACAGGGGCCGCATGGTGGGTGTGCCTGTGATCCAAGGGCAAGGAAGGGCCATGTATCAGCACCAGGACCACTCTCGGAGTCCTTTCCTGCCTGTCTTCCCAGCACCAGTGGCTAGCGTCATGTGTGTATGTGTTGGCACGGTGTCCCCCATCCCTCACCAGACAACCAGACCTGAGGAGGGGATAGCAGACTGAGGGGGTGTGGACAGCACATGGCAGGATGGGGGTACACACTGGCCAGAAGGGCACCTCTTTGCCCTCCCTTCCTTCCAGGCAGGACTTGGTTTCACTGGAAGATGAAATGCCTTCCCATCAGTGGATCTATGGCTCCCACCCATCCACTAAGTCAGCCAGAACCTGCCTTGGGTGGTGAGGGGTGGTGAATAAGGTCAAGTGGAGGAAGCAAAGGGAAATCTAGCCATTGGCCTTGCAGGCTGCCAGGGCCAATTCCTTTAGGGAGTTTGGGGCTCAGCAGTTTGGACGCAGTTAGTTAGTTGACCATGAGTCATTTCCTTCTGTGCCTGAGCCCCCCTTCACCATGCCCACATTTCTCTGACAAGATCCAGAGGTCAAGAGATGGGAAACAAGCTAGAGAAAGAAACGGTGTCTTCTGAAGCTTGGGCAGCGCTAAGTGGAGGTGGCAGGAGTGAGGCAGAAAGCACACTGCCTTCCCTTCCCTTTGCTCCCCAGGACTTTGTCCCACAGAGCTTGTGGCTCCCAGATCTGTCCCTGCCCTTCCTTTGTGTCCATGGCCCTGGCATCCTGGAGAGGCCCCTGACAGGAGTAGGCTGCTGCCAAGGTAGCAGGCAGGGTCAGGCTTGTCTGGAGACCCCCCAGGCTTAGGCAATTGGGTGGAGGTGGAGGAGAAGCTACCCTGCCTGAGCCTGTCTCTGGACCCATATCTACCTGCCTCTTCCTCTTTCATCAGACACTGCCCCCCATGTACCTGTTGGAACACACCCCAGAGGAAAAGACCAGAGCCCCCACCTCTCCTACAACCCCACTTGCCATGACTCCTTGGCAAAGGCCCAGGTTGAGTCTCAGCCTCATTCTCCCTATCTGTTAAATGGGAATAAATATGTCAGCCCTGATTGTCTTCCAGGCTTGGGTTTCTAGGATTGGCTGGGTGCATCTGTGGACAGGGAGCACAACTGAGCACCAGGACCCGCCTGCCAACTTGAATCAGTTCCAGTCCAAGGAGGCCCTCACTTGGGGCCCAATCCAGCAGGGAGAAGCACTGTTTGGGGCTTACACAGGGCTAGGTAAGCCTGAGTCTAGATGCTAGTTGCAAAGGTATGAGGCTCTTGGGGAGCAGCTTTCCCAGATAGGCCCCATGGCTGGGGGCTGCTCCTTTGGAGTCAATGCCACCAGTAGGCCAGGGGCGTGGGGCCCTCCTGGCCTGGTTGGCTGGGTGCCAGCACTGCACCTCCTGCTGCACATATGCCAGGAGAAAGGCGGGATGGAGGTCTGTCCTGTTGGCCCTACAGTGTTCCTCGAACATTCCACAGGCACAGGCATGTATCTCCCTGAGGGCTCGCATGACTTGGCCCTGGCCTGGATCCATACCTGTGGACAGAAGGGACTTCAGGGAGATCAGAGCTGCAGCTGCTGCTGGGAGGGAGTGGTGCAGCCCTCCTGAGCCCGGCAGGTCACACAATGGGGGAAGAACCCAAGGTCTAGCCCAGTTTTTCTCTCACATGGAGAGTTGGACTTGGTGCTTATCCCTAGGGTCGAAGGAAGTGCCCTGCTAAAGGAGTGACCAGCCTCCCTTGCTCCTTCAAGCCACATTCTCACCCCAGGGCCTGCCTGCCCCAGGCTGCCCAGAGGCCCCCAGAGATGGCCCCCTCTCCCAAAGGTCTTAGCCCCAGAGTAGATAGAAAGATCCGAGCTCGCCTACCTAAGTCGTGCTCCCCTTCTTTCCCTCAGTTTGCAGCCTGCAAGGCAGGGCAGGGCAGGGCTGGGCAAGGCCTCCTGTGCCTGCTGCCACGCGCAGAGTCCTTGCCCAGGTGCTGCTGGACTCCAAGGGCTGGGAGAAGCAGGAGCAGTGGGAGAGAACAGGAAGGGGAGGCTAAAGGCAGGGGAACAAGATGGAATGGGAAAGAAGGAGGAGCTGCCCCAGCCCCTCCTCACTGCCCCTGCCAAACTGCTACCTCACAGGGGGATGAGTCAGGGCTGGAATGCCCAGCAGAGCCCTGGGAAGCTCTGGGACCCAGTCCACCTGGGCAGGTGGGAGTAGGATGGTCTAGCCCTGCCGAAGCAGAGGTGGGGGAGTAGCAGATGACCAACCTGTGGCCAGCCTGGACCCCCACCCCCTGACCCCAAGGAAAGGGTCTCTTTTGAGACTCCTTCCAGATACTCAGGTTCTAAGTCTGCCTCACAGGCAGTTTGGGAAAGGTGGAGAGTCCCCACCAAGGTAGAGGACAGATAGGCACTGGGAAATTCTGGCCATTGGGGGCACAGGTGGGCTCATGGGACCAGTTTTGTGGGGTTAGAGGCCCTAGATGAAATTCACCAATTCAGAGCAGCAGTGCTTGATGTCATAGTAAGTCTGGGGGTCCCCAAAGGGCTGAGAAAGGGGTACAGGGAAGAGCCCAGCCCTCTGCCCCTCAGTTCCAGCTCAAGGCTACCCCAAGGGGTGAGCAAAGGGCTTGGAGGCATGCACATCAAGGCCCTATAAGAGAAGCAAGACAACATTTGGCTGGTTTTCCTTGGCTCCTGGCTAAAGAGGTGGGGGCCGGGCAGCCTTCCCAGCATAGCCCTCATTTCCCCTCAGAGAACTGGCACCAGACTCAGGGCCCAGAACTCTACAGGGAAGGAGGCAAGCCAGACCTTGAGTCTCTAGGAGATGGCAAAGGACCCTCACACAGTCAGAGGACCCCAGAGTGTGCAGGCACAATTAGTATCCCCGTTTTATGGATGAGAAAACTGAGGCCTAGAGAGAGGAACTGATTTCTCCCAAGTCACTCAGCTCACTCAGCCTGAGGCTTGGAGCCTGGCTGTGGTGATTCCAGGTGCTGAACCTTCGGCCCAGAAGCAGCCCTGCCCCTGCCCCTCAGCTATAGGTGGGGGCCTGGGCCTGGCTGACTCACAAGTGGGCCATGCAGAGAGCCTAGGGAGAAATCCTGGGTCTGGCCATGGTGGTGATGGGTGCTGTAGATGTGTCTGGCTGCCTCCCTTCTCCCCACATATTCACATCGAGGAGACAGGCAGGCAATAGCCCAGGAAGCTGGAGCCTCCCATGGCAGAACTGTGAGACCCCCAGCAAGTTCCTCCCATCCCCACCTCCCCACCACCACTGGTGGTTTCCTTTCATCAGCCTCCCTGGGTGTGTCCTTAAGCCCCATCAAAGTATGCTCTGAGTTTGCTGGACACCACCTCCTCAGAGCAAAGGAAAGAAGTGCTCATGGTGGTGAGCCCTGACTGGACGACCGCAGGTGTGAGAGAGGGAAGGGGCTGGGCTTCCTGGAGCCTGCAACGCCACCACAATAGGGCCCTCCTTGTCTGCCCCTCTGAAAGCCAGTGCAGTCCTCCATGCAGGATTGCTCCAGGTCACAGCCAAACAAGATGCGCTGGCAGCCTCTGAGAACATGGAGGGGCTGTGCCAGGCATTCAGACCAGGCCAAGGGCGGCGGGAGCAGGGCTTGAGGTCTGGCGGGTGCTTGGAGCTTGCCTGCAGATGTGTGGCTGGCAGCTGCCAAGGAGCAGACTTCGGATGGAGTCTCTGTGGCCTCAGCCTGGGGCATCTGGCTCCACTGAGCAACCCGACCTGAACTCTGCCTTTCACACAGCCCTGCTGGACCCCTAGAACTACATGGTTGGAAAGAGGTGAGAGGGAGACAGGTGACATTGGGCACCTCTCCTCCTTCCCCTCTGGTCACTGAAGTCATCTGGGTCCAGCTTCGACCAGCCAGCTGACACCTGGCCTACTCCCTGGTCCCAGCACACCTAACCCCTACACCAGCCAAATCAAGCCTATGCTAAGTGTCAACCAGACAGAAGGGATGTATGCTGTCCATGGGTCTGTCAAAAGGCCATGTGGTGTGCATATGTGGATGCTGGGGCCAGAGGGGGGACTCTGAACTCCATGTCATCTGCACCTGGCTCCACCCTGAACCCACAGCCATTGCCCCAGCATGCCCTTTATACTGCAAGGGGAGCAAATGCCCAAGCATAGCTGTGGGGCAGCTCTTTATTGATGTGGCCCTGGCACTGTTGCAGTGACTGGACAGAGCTGGGTCCTGTACTTGGGCAGATTTGATGGACAGACTCTACCCCAATGTAGGTGACAGAGGCTAACTTTCTATCTCCTTCTGTACCCTGCCAAGAAACCTCTGGAAAGGACTCAGTAGCAGATGACCCTGGTCAGCTGGGGGGTCCTTAGTTTTATGGTCCCTCTGTACCGGGGCCACATGCCATCCCATCTCTCACTCACTGAAGAAATTTGGACTCCTATTTATCATGTGTTAGAATCTTGAGCAGTGGGGTAGGGATGCAAGTGACTTCTTTACCTAGCCACTGCTCTCCACTATTGATCATAAGTCTTGCCTATCCCAGTGCTGTGGTGCATGCCTATAATCCCATTGACTCTTGAGACTGAGGCAGGAGGATGGCAAGTTTGAGGTCAGCCTGGGCAACTTAGAAAGACCCTGTCTCAAAATTAAAAACAGAAGGGCTGGGAATGTAGCTCAGTAGTAAAGTGCCCCTGAGTTTAGCACCCTGTACCAAAAAAAAAAAAAAAAAAAAAAAAGCAAAAACAAAAACAAAAAAAACAAAACAAAACAACAACAACAAAACCAAAAATCTCTTGGCCAAGGCCACACAATGAGGAAATAGATCCAGGACTCCTCTATCTGTCTGTGTCTTCCTGCCCATGTTGCGGGGATGCACTTCTGCAAAAGGACAGCAGCCAGGCACCTGGGTCTGGAGTCAGGGAACCCCTTCTCTTTCTGGGCCTGGGATTTTCTGCAGCCCCTCCCTTGCATTTGGGTCCCCTTCTATCTGCTAAGGACTCTGGATGATGTAAGACCCAATGCTCTTCAGCCAGCCAGGGAGGCCAGGATCCTGCCCATCTTCAGGCCCCCAGGGCTGCTGGAGTCCGGCATACAAATGCCTCCTTGCGGCTCAGCATCCCCTCAAGCCCATGGGAACACAGTCATGGCAGATTCCCAGGGATTCAGACTTTGAGAGGATAAAAGTGGCCCCAGGGACAGGGCTGCCAGCCCCAGCCTGAATTTTCCCTCCACCCCTCTTTTGTGTGGAACTGTTCACAAAATCCCAAACCTGTGGTTACCCAGGCCTCAGTCTTGGCCAGCTGACCCTCTGGAGACCAGACGGGGGGAAGCAGAGGCAAGTTCAAGAGTCACCCCACTCAGAATCTGGGAACTTGGGGCATCACAGGACGTCTTCAAGCCCCTGCTCAGCCTAGGCTGGGTGTCTGCTGAGTTGGGAGTCAGGATGTAGTGCACCTGAAGAGGTCAATGTAAGGAAGCTGGGTAGAGACCCAAGACTTTAAATCTGAGAGATAAGCCACCACATAGATGGAGGGGCGGTGTCTTCCCTGGGCTGGGAATGTCTGCGATGTGGTGTGGACCTGGCCAGAAGCAGAGAGCCTCCTGCCCCTCAGGCTGCAACTGCAGCTGAGCAGGGGGAGTCAGAGGGTTGTGTTCTGTAGTATCTGGAAACACCGAAGCTGGTGGGCTCAGGGGAGAAGGCTCCCTGCTCCATGGCCACCCCAGGGTCTGCCCCAACCCAGAGCAATAAGAAGGTGGGTGTCACCTGGCATCCCAGAGGTATCCAAGGAGGCCCTGGAAGCCCCTTGGCTATACACTCCAAGTGGGGGAAGGGACTTGTTGGCCTGAAAGGAAAGGGGAGGACAAAGCACAACTCCCATCCCAGAAGAGGTGGCCCAGCAAGCCCCATGCCTTCCCCAGAGAAGGCTGGGAAGCTCATTCTTTCTGGAAGGCTGGAGGAGGGCCTGAACATGGAGCAGGTCTGAGCCACTCCTGCCCCCCTCTACTCATCACCCCCACTGTCCCTGTGAGATTTGCAGAAAGGGTACTGTGGGTGGCCAAGGGTGGTGTGGCCCCTGGCTTCCCTCAGCCCACTGTGGGGCATAAGGGGACAGGAGGTCTCTGGAGGCAGAGGGGTGGGGGACAAAACAGAAAAGCCTCAGCTCTCAACTGCACAGGAAGGGCAGAACCAGAGCCTGCAGGACCTCAGGTTGGCCCACCTACCCCTTAGCCCATGACTGGGTGCCCAAAGAGAGCCACTACCACCCTCAGCCCCTCAGTGTGAATGAATCCTCGTGTTGCTAGGTCCTCCTTCCACCATGGTCTCAGGGTGCACAGAGAAGGCCTATTGCCAGGAGTTTGGGGATACAATGGCCAGCCTAGAAGATGGATGGGTTAGTTGGGGCAGGGACCAAACTCTTTGGCCCTGGGGTGACTAACGAGGAGGAGTGGGAGGGGTCATGATGGGTTTGGGAAGACCTTTCTAACAATTAAGGCTGTCAGGGGGTGAGCAAGCAAGTTAAGGGGCTCCAGCAAGTGCATCATCAGAGACCCCTGAGGCTGAGGCTCTGTTGGAGAGGAGGTCATGCTGGGAAGTCCCATAAGACTAAGGACAAGTGACTCCTGGGATAGACTGTCTGTACTGCATTGTCTTTCCAGGGTGTGAGAAGGACTGTGGTGGTAGGCTCAGGAAGCAGGGAGACTAGAGTGCAGTTCTGTCCCTGTTCCCCACCCTGCAGAGTGCCAAGGAATTAGAAATCCTCTGGGAAGCCTCCAGATGCAAACTCTCAAGCGTGGCCTCATTAAAAATCCTCCTCTGGGGACTTGATGCTGTCTCTGGAAGGGATACTCCATGGTCTTGTTTGACTATGGAATGTTGCTGAAAGAAACCCTTTCTTGCCTTGAAAATATCCCTTTTTCTCCTGTCCTTCCCTGTTCTCAATCCAATATCCTAGGACTGGAAGGGCTGGGGAGGAGTTTGGGCCAATGCTTGCAAGGCACCCTGCATAATGGCTGGAGACTGGCATCCTTCCTCTGTGGGTCCGGCACAGACTCCATATCTACACAATGGAAGGCTGGCCCCAGCCTCATGCAGTGTGCCAAAGCAGTGTGCTCCAGGGACAGGTCTTGCCTATGTGCAGGTTGCCCAGGGAGGCCATGCTACCATGCCCAACTGGCCACAGGCGCCCCCTCTGCTCCCTGGCCAAGCCAACCACTGCTGCCCAGCCCTAGTGGCTTGGAGGCATCTCTGTTTTCCTGTCAATACTCCCACACAGGCCTGCCCTCAAAGGCTCACCCACAGTGACCCACAGCAGCCTTACATGGGCATGTTCCACATGAAGTCACCTCTGTCTTGCCCACCAGCTCTCCCAGGGTGCGGGTGGCACAGGCAGTTCCATGTCACCAGGAGGTGCTCACATGCACCTCTGGATACAGGTCCCTTCCCAGCACCTATGGAGCATCCCCAGCTTGTCTCAATCCAAACATCACTCTGGAGCAGAGAGCTGGCAGGCCAGAGAAAGGAAAGGCACAGCAGCAGGAGCTTCCTAAGGTCAGAACTTGAGCTTCCTGTGTGGCCAGGAGAGTGGACCTGCCCTTGAAGACTGTTGGAGAGGAATGTCCCTGGCTTGAGCAAGATCTGCCCTTTCCTCCCCACCTGCACCCCTGCCCTGAGGGGCCCTGGGCCTCCTGCTTCGAGTCCACGGCACAAGCCCCACCCATGGAGCAGTGGGTAGGGGTGCTCTCATTTCCAAACCTTCCAGAGAATTTGGTGGACACACAGATGACTCTGTTCTCTCTTGCTCTCTCTCCTGAGTTCGTTGGAAGGCCCCTCTGGGAACCCAAGCCAGGTCTTCCCCAGGGAACATGACACAGTTGCCAAATTCTCTCTCCTCCCCGTCTTCTACCCACTTTGTGTCCCAATCCAAGAGAGTTCTGGGCACAGACAGGACTCTCTGTCTCTGTGCCTCTGACTCCCTGAGGTACCCAGGTATCCCATTCAGGGCCACAATAGCTGTGGCTCCATGGACCCACACCTTGCCTAAGAGGAAGTAGAGGCAGGGCACCAGCCTGTGCTGTGCTAGGACTACCTGGGCAAGGTGACTGGGCTGTACCTGGGAAACTGAGTCTCCTAGACCCACACCAAGGATTAGTTCCAGCAGTGGGGAGTTCCGGTTTTGAGCTGGTGGGTGTCTGAGGTCCTTTCCCTCCAGGCCAGAAGCAAAGCTCCAGAGAGTGTGCCTGGGACTTGCAGCAAAGGGATGGAGCTGTTGGTTGATCCAGGGTGTCAGCACCCAGCCAGGCCTCAGAGATGCTCCAGGCAGGCGGCAGCCAGGGGAAGCACCCTTTTCCCACCCCCACCCCCACCCAGAGGCAGAGATGGATGGAGCCTAGCCGCTGAAGGAGGTCAACAGGGGCAAGGGAAGGGAAGGGGTGGGAGGAAGGTGCCTGGAAGAAGGTGGGGAGAAGAGGCAGAAATGGGACAAGAACCAAGGGGGCCGCGGGGTGGCATTGAAGGGGCGTGGACCAGGATCCTGAAGTGGGTGCCTTGGAAATCCATGGGTGCCCTGGAGGCAAGAGAGGGCAGTAAGGGGGCAGCGGATCCACGGACACTGGGGAGGACAGCAGGACCCTAGGCTGAGACAGCAGAAGCAGCAGACATCTCTAGATTGGTGAGGGGACAGCACAGCCAGGGATGAGACAGGGAGAGCAGCTTAAGGCCAGTACAGGATAGTGGGGACAACGTGGGGCTGGCGTGGGGCCCTACCTGGGGAGGGGAAGCAGCCAGGTGCGGGCTGGCTAGTTGGTGGGCTGGGATGTTGGGCCGTCCGTGCGTCTGTCGGGCAGAGCCGACTGAGAGCAGCTGCTCACTCCTGGGCAGTTCGTGGAGAGAGGGAGACAGAGGCGGTGGGAGGGAGGCTAAAGGCTGGGCGGGCGGGCCGACGGGAGGGGACAGCGGGGAGGGGGCGGGGAGGGAAGCAAGGAGGGAGGGGGCTGGTGGCGTGGAGAGGGAGGGAGGGCGCAGGCTTCCCGCCCCCCTGGCAGCTTCAAAGGGAGCAATTTTCTTGTAGACGGCTGGGCTAGCTGCACCCCCCTCCTCGACCCCCCAGCCCCCGCCTCAGGCACACTGTGAAAGGGCACACACTCACACACACTCACACAAGGACCCTTGGCATCTCTGGGTAGGCAATACCTCAGAGAGTTAGACTTTCTGCTGACCAGATAGGGACACTGAGGCATGTGCTGGCATGTCCCTAGGCAGAGGACAGGGAGAGGACAGAAAAATGGAAGGGGGATGGTGGGGAGATGGCCTCAGATTGCAAGACCAGTGGCCCCTGGAATTCTGTCCTGAGCCTGCCCAGAACCTCCTGCAACCCAGGCTGCAACAAGGAAATGGTTTCTCTGGAATCAGAGAAGGAGCTCCTGTGGATTTCTGGAACAACTTGACCTAGACTCCCAGGCACTCTGTACACCTCCCGCAACTTCAGTCTTTCCTTCCTCAAAGAGAGGCTATGGGCCAGGCATGGTGGGGTATGCCTGTAATCCCAGCTATTCAGGAGGCTGAGGAAGAAAGATCACAAATTCAAGGCCAGCTTCATCAATTCACTGAGGCCCTAAGCAACTTAGGAAGATCCTGTCTCAAAATAAAAAATAAAAAAGGCCGGGGATGTGGCTCAGTAGTAAAGTGCTTCTGGGTTAACACCCCCCCCCTGCCAAAAAAGAGGCAAAGTTCTTTGTGTGACAGCAGGCAGGAGCCTGCTGGCGGCCTCCCTAGAGTGGGAAAGCTGATTCAGAGAAGAGTCATCTTCTTGCTCAATCCCTGCAGGCCCCCTAGGATGTGATAACCACTCTGTGGGGGGCACTTCCTCTGGTCACTTTCAGGGGCTAACTTGTTCAGCCCGCCAAGCCTCAGCCACTTCCTGAGGGCCCAAGAGAGTCCAGCTTTTCTTTTGTCTAGCTAGGGAAGTCCCCAGCACAACATCTACTCCCTGTCCATTCATGTCCCATCCCCTCCTTGCCAGAGCAGCTTCCGAGACATCACAGTGAGGTCTTAGAGTGAGAACTCAAAGCGGGAAGCAACTCTGAAATCTGCAAGAGGAGAATTGGAGAGGAGAAGAATGAAAGGACAAGCTCCAAGTGGACAGAGGTGAAGAGGTGGGGGTCCACTGTAGAGAGGACTATGGTGAGGGATGAGGGTTCCCACCCACCTAAATGCTGTCACTCAGTTATGGGGTGGGGTCTGAAAGTCCCAAGACCCAAGCAGATGCTTTCATGAGGACCTTGCCTGGAGCCAGCATCAGTGCAGGGCCCAACTGGAATGCCATCTGTAAGAAGTTTTTTGGCCAGGCCACGAAGTGAAGTGGGCAAAACAGGGTCTGGGCTGGGAAGAGATTGAAGATCACTTTCCCTGCAGACCAGGGCTGTTGGTTTGTCTGCCTGCTGATTGGCTTCTTTTACATTTTTATTTTTGTGGTGCTGGGATGGAAACCAAGGCCTCCAGTATGCAAGGCAAGCTCTCTTCCACTGAGCTACATCCCCAGCCCCGTGTTTTACGTTTTGACTGTTGATATGTACTCATTTATGCTACACATGTCAGCAGAGACTGGGGTACAGGCTGCAAAGGTCAAAGGGGGGTCCAAGGCACATAAGAACAATCTGCTCAATAAGAGCAGACAATGGCAAAAGATAGGGGTGACAGCTAAAGGCTTTCTTTTTAAGGTGATGAAAATGTTCTAGAAGTTTCTGTAGTGATGCTTTCATAACTGAGAATATATAATTACTGAGTAAAAAATATCAACTTGGACTTTTTTTTTCAGTACTGAGGATTGAACCCAGGATGTTCTACTGTCAAGCTACATCCCCAGCCTTTAATTAATTAATTGATTGATTTTTTGGTATAGGAAATTGAAGGCAGCGACACTCTATCACTGAGTTGCATCCAAAACCCTTTTTATTTTTAATCTTGAGACAGGGTTTCTCTAAGTTACTCAGGGCCTTGCTGGGTTGCTGAACTGAAGCTGGCCTCGAACATGTGATCCTTCTACTTCAGTCTCCCAAGTTGCTAGGATTATAGGCATGCACCAATTTGCCTGGTACCCTTTAAATTTTTTTTTTTTTTTTTGAGACAGGATCTGGCTAAATTGCCCAGGCTAGCTTCAAATATGATCCACCTGGGATTATAGGAGCATGCCACTATGCCCAGCTAATAAAGCTATTTTTTAAAAGAATAAACAAATATATAAGATTCACCTACTTTCAGAGATGCTTATACTTAAGTTCTTTATCAAATATGGCACCACTTGGCCTCATTCTGTACCGCTCTGGGGGCTAGGACTCTTGGAGCAGTTACTCAGAGCCTTGGCCTCCAGGAGCCCCAGTGGGGGTAAAACAGCCCTGAAGAAAGTGGTCAGGGAGCAGTGGAAGTCCTGGAAGGAGCTTCCATTACCCCCTCCTGGGACTCTTAGGGCTGGGCTCTGTGTGCCACGAGGAAAGGACAGGGGCATTCTTGTTTCTGGCCTTGCCAGGGCCACATACAGCACCAGAGACTCAGGAAGGCTTCCTGGAGGTGACATGGACAGTAGGGAAGAGGAACATGGCCTTACAGAGGGTGTGGGGAGCAGCAGAGAGAGAACGCCCTGTAGTTCAACAGAAAGCTAACCAGTGGCTGTCCTGTCTCCCTTTAAGACCTGACCCTCAGGTCTCAGCTAGGCATATTTCTGGGGATGGGGGACACATATTCACCTTTGTAGCTTGTCTTCACATTTGGGGGATGTGTTGGGGGCAATACTGCTGTAAATACGGTTCTTGTGCCTGGAAGGTTCTTGTTTCTGTGGTTTGCAGTCTGCAATAAGCTATAACTGCATGCCCAGCCCAGGGCCCACTGAGTCACTCGGCCTGGCCCTCTAATTTGGGGGCCACTCCCAGACCAGCCAGGCAGCACCTCGGTCCTTGGGCCTGCCTCTCTCCCCTCCTCCTCCCTCTACCCCTCCCCAGGCCTCCACTCTCTGCAATGCAGGAGCAACCTGGATCCTAGCTGAAGTGCACAAGAAACAGTGTGTCCTTGCTGGCTAATGGAGTGGAGCCTCAAGCAGCCTCCTGCCCTGTGGCCTCCCAGGGCTAGTAGGAGGGGGCAGGCGCTGGGGGCAAGGCAGGAAGGAAGAGCAGGCATTTCCTGAGGCCCCCAGGGCTCCTGAGGAGGCCAAAATGCACAGCTGTCTTAGCTCCCCAGGAACCAGTGGCAGACAGGGCGCCAGGGGGGTGGGGAAGGCAGAGCCCATAACCCTGCAGCATGTCCTGTGTATGACTGTGGGACACTACTGGACAGCCCTCTGAAGCCCTGGACATTTCCCCAGAGGATTAGAGAAGGTCAGGTCATCCTGCTGGTACCAGTCGCCTGCCTATCAGCCCAGGAAGCCCCTTCTTTTCACTCTCAGAGCCAAGGACTCAGCCTTCTCAGCCTGAAAAGGAGCCCAGCCCCTCAGACATGTGGAGAGGGCAGTCCTGGGTAGCTGGCTCTGGTTTCTCAGGGAAAGCTGTCCTACCCCTCCTGCCCCAGGTTCCTGCTCTGAGCAGTCAGTTCTTCCAGCCCATTTGGGCAACTGCTCCCCCAGCCCACCCACACTCATGGAAGAATATGGGGAAGGTTCTGGGAGGGGAGGACAAGGCAAGGGCAGAAAGTCCATATCTGAGGGGGAGCAAGGGCCAAGAGAAAGGGAACTGAGAGGAGGGGAGACTACCTCTGCTGGGCAGGGGAATCTCAGCCAGCTGCCATCCCCTTGGCCTGTGTGTGGAGAAGGGCCTGGCGTCAGCTGCAGCCTGTCCCCCCACAGCTGGCTTGCAGCTGTTTGTGCCCTTACTTCAAAGCTAGAAGGAGGAGGCCCAGGAAAGAAGCAGGGCACCCAGAGGGAAGGCTGTGAGCCTTCTGGTCCCCTTTGGGAACAAAAAGTTGGGCTTTGGTATGAGTCCCTGGAGAACAGGGCATGGAAGCCTGGGAGGTAGCCCAAGGTGCAGGCCCTTTGTGTGGAAAGCCCCTTGCAAATGTGACAGCTGCTGAGAGAGCTCCCCACAAGATCTCCAGCCCATACAGCTACTTGTCCCATAATTTTCAGGAGCCTGGAAAGAAGAATCACTCAGGTCTGAGCTTCAGGGACCCTCTGCTAATCCCCTTCTGTGTCTCTTCCCAGCTTCCCTCTGTCCTGCTTTCTATGTCCAGCTGGCCCCACCTACTTCTTGAACCTTCCACATGACTCCTTCACATCTCTTCTGACAGCGTGAAGAGAAAGGCCAGAGATAGAGGGGAAACCTGGGAAATAGTGGGAACCACAGTGAGCAAGTCCGAAGTGCAGTAGCCCTGACCCCATGCTGCCAGATCACAAACAAAGCCAAGCCCGAAGAAGGTGACCAAGTGGAATGAATGTATATAGTGGACTGAGGGGCAGGGAGGGATTCCAGAAAAGGCTATGTCCAGGGGCTGCCTTTTAGCACCCTGTGCTAACATGGGCCCCTACAAAGCCAGCCCAGCCAGGAGTCCCTCCCATAGGATCACTTCATGCCTCAGCCTCTAGGACAAAAGCCCAGCCAGGGACACGTCACAGGTACATCAGGGTCACTGGAGCAGTCTTTGGTCCACGTGCCTGACACAGGCCAGTGCTGGCCTGAAGGCTGAACATCTCAGTGAGAGACAGGGATCTGTGGGTTCTTTGTCTCATGAATTTGAAGAATGAGATCCATGGACACATTGAAGACAGCAATGTTGCCAAGAGCATCCCAGTTCACAGCCTTGCTTGGTCCTCCCTCCCAGCTTGCTGGCTGTGACCAGGCCTGCTGCCCACACCCCCTACAGACTCTAGAAGGTAGCTCTGCCACCAGCTGAGTGGCCCT